CTTCCTTTTGTGTTTACAATTTTAACATCATTAGTTATTTCCCTGCGAATGACCATACTGCCCAAAATAATCTATAGATTCAATGCAATTTCTATCAAAATACCAAAATCATTTTCCCCAGAATTAGAAAAAACACTCCTAAAATTCATATGGAACAAAAAAGAGCCTAAATAGCCAAAGTAATTATAAGCAAAAAGAAACTGGAGGCATTACATTACCTGACTTTAAATTATACCACAAAATTATAGTAATCAAAACAGCATGGTCTGGCCTAAAAATAGACACATAGATCAATGGAATAGAATGGAGAACCCAGAAATAAAGCCACATACTTACAGCCAACTGATCTTTGACCAAGTAAACAGAAACATACAATGAGGAAAGGACACCCTATTCAATAATGATGCTGGGGAAACTGGATTGTCTCGTGCAGAAGAATAAAACTTGAGCCCTAACTCTCACCATATACAAAAACAAACTCAAGATGAATTAAAAGCTTGCATATAAGAACTGAAACTATAAAAATGATAGAAAAAACTTTCCTGGACCCTGGCCTAAGGAAAAATTCATGACTAAAACTTCAAAAGCAAAGGCATCATAAACAAAAGTAGATAAATGGTACTTAATTAGACTAAACTGCTTCTGCACAGCTAAATAAATAATCAGCCTACTGAAAAGACAACCTGAAGAATGGGAGAAATTACTCACAAATTATGCATCTGACAAAGGGCTAATATCCAGAATCGAAAAGGAACTTGAACAATGCAACTTTAACAAAAAAACCCAAATAATCTATTTAAAGACACTTTTCAAAAGAAAACATACAACAGCCAACAAGGATATAAAAAAGGTCAAAATAAATAGTCATCAGAACAATGCAAATAAATAAAGATCACAATGAGATACCATCTTACACCAGTTAGAATGGCTAGTATTAAAAGCCAAAAAATAACAGATGGTGAGGATGTAACAACAAGGGAACAGTTACACACTGTGGGTAGGAATGTAAATTAATACAGCCTCTATGGAAAACAGCATGGAGATTTCACAAATAACTAAAAATAGAAGTATCATTTGATACAGCAATTACACTACTGAGTATATTCACCTAAAAGGAAAAATATCATTATATCAAAAAGATACTGCACATGTATGTTTATAACAGCACTATTCACAATAGCAAAAATATGGAATCAACCTACGTGTCCAACAATGAATGACTGGATAAAGAAAATGTGACGCATGCACGTGCGTGCGCGCACACAAACACACACACACACCATGCGATAAAACTTAGCCATAGAAAAGAATAAAATCATTTTTTGTAGTAACATGGATGAAACTGAAGGCCATTATATTGAGCAAAACATCTTGGAAAGTCAATTACATGTTCTTATTTACCACATGTTTTTATTCCTCTAAGTAGAAGCTAAATAATGTGCACACATGATCATAGTGTGAAATTGTAGACATTGGTGAATTGGAAGTGGGGAGAAGAGTAAAGGATGAGAAACTGCTTACTGGGTACCACGCACATTATTCAGCTAATGGTTACAGTAAAAGCCCAGACTTCACTACTACACAATATATCCATGTAAAAAACTGCACTTGTATTCCCTAAATTTACACAAATGAAAAACACAGCTCAAAAAAGGCAAGTAAAACCAAATATCCCGTCTTCAGCAATCCCTAAACATAACTAATACCTATGTAAAGGGAGCTAAGATGCAATGATTGATTTAAATAAAAGGCCTCATTCAAGTAAGAAGTGAAAGAAAAGCAAAGATGGGCAGGCTAAATGTACCTTGACTCTTTATTAAGATATGAGGACACTGTGTACTTTATACCTGAGGTACATATGTGACCTGAGATTCTTGAGTACATGTGTTTTGTCATTAGTTTTGTAATATTCCAAAGTTACCCAAAATTCCTGGCTTAACTTGACTTTAAGAAATTCTACCATCTGATTTGAGGACAGTTACTAAGACAGAAAGCCCCTGAATAAAGAGAAGGAATGCTTTCTTCACCTATATGCCTCTTACTATCGGGGTATTTTCCATGCAGACAGGATTCTGATTTTATTTCCTTCCACAACAGGGGCCTCTTTCATCCTCTTGTTTTATTTCTGGAAACAAAACCTTCACTGCCAAAGCCCTCAGATGTGATGGCAGGGAGAGCTACAGTGACAGCTTCTGCCTTCTTCCTGTGGTATTCACTTAAAATATGCAATTCAAATGTATTGCCCGCTATACCCCAAATTGTACTTTCACCTCTTAACCTAGCTAATTCTGCTTTTGCATATTTCCAAACTCCCAAAGTAAGATCTGCTTTCCCTTTGCATAACTCCAAACTTTAGGAGTGGAAGAAAGTATTTGGGAATGTTGTCTCAAATGTACAAACCCTCTAGCTCCATTCCTCTAAATCTACTGGGTAGGAAAGGTTGACTCACTTTGATATAAACATTAAAAGACTAAATAACAGACCTATAACAGTAAGAAAATACTAAACATGAATATACCATAGAGAATAAATGTTCATAAAAGTAAAGATTAAATGTAGCTGTTAACAACATAAATGCCTTAATGATATCCATGATGCATAAAAACTTTCAAAAAATTTTCTCTGTTTTCAAAAATAAATGCCTAATTAATACTATGCTTTACTCTGATTTCAATTATTTTGTCAAAAGCAAATTTTACCTTAAATCTATCATCCTATGAGCAGGTCATAAAAATGAACTACATGGATTCTTATTAATATAATCAATATCAAAATATTCCAATTTTTAGTATCTTTTTATATGAATATAGCTAATATATTTTATTTTTAGTGTTCATTATTACAAAAAATAACCTTAAGGAATGAGAAAAACTAATTCCTACATGTAAAATTTTAATTATGCCTCACACATGCATAACTAGTGACATTTCTTTTGTTCAATTATTATTGTTCTATACAACTGTCTTAAACTCATAAATTTTAATTAAGGCTGCCCCAAACCCTAGTTATGTAGTGTCCACATAGGAATTTGCCAAAAGGCTTAACTGAAGTTAACCAACAATGTATAAATCCATGAATTGCTCATGGGATTTGTTTAACAAATTAATATTTGGTGTAAATAATGAAGTTCTACAGTCTATAGTACCAAACAATGTTTTTATAGTTTATAAAACCGCGTTTTAGAAGTAGAAAATGCTTTCTAAATGACTTAATTAGATATTATATAATTATTAATTATTAGATGCTATAAAATAAACTACATGTCTATATCGCAGGTTGAATCCATATGAGAACTCATTCATATTATTAATTTGAATTTTTTCCCTGAAAATATTACTTCTGTAAATCAGGATATGATAACTTTGTGCACACATAAAGTTGAACTACAGATTTTGAGCATGCAGCAAATTTTAGACAAATTATTTGAACTAAACATTAAAAGTTGTGCTGTATCTATATACAACTCAGGATCCATCAACAGGACAGTAAATTCAATGTTTTGTAGAGATTTGTCCCTGCGGATGCATTGCAGGTTCAATAGATAGCAATAGTTTGGAATTTCAAATTGTTTACTTGGCCTGAATATTTTTAAATATAAATAAAGATAAATCATCCAGCTATAACACAATGGTTTTCATTATCTCAATAAGAAAATTGTTACCAATTAAATAATAAAACTTCCAAACAAGTCATTTTGCATGAGAAAACGTTTTCCCTAAAGGAGATATTATGTGTGTTACTAAACTACACACTCGTATTCTTTGAACCTGGGTTCTTTTTTATATATTCAATAAAGGATGCAGTACTACAATTTCCCCTGTAGTAATAGAATATACTTTATGAACTAGCTTCCCTTAGCATAATAAAAATATATGGTAAGACTCCTGGTGCCTTTTATATTTCAATCTAATAAAACTTCTGAATATATTTTCAGAATGCTATTAAGTAGTTAGAATAATTTCATTATCAATTAATAAGACAAAAATATTTATAGACATAAAATTATTAAACTTTTACTGTTAGAATGCATTTCAGAAACAGCTTGATTTTTCTGATCCACACTGAAAATTCTTCATGTAGCTCTTTCAATTACACTACTTTAAATACTTCAAAAAATAGTATAAACAATAGAAGCAGTGAAAACTCCCAGTAAGATAAAAATTAACCATGTAGGGAAATGTGAAAACCATGTAGACTGATTTTCCATTTCACTAACTAAATTTGCATTTATGGTGGTAAAATTAAATGTGCATAGATTGTACTATAAAAGTTCTATAATATCCCTTATGCTGAATATTAGAATTTGCAAATTAGATTTTTATTATGCATTGGGATTATTTTTTTCTCATGGAACATATTTTAAATTTAATACAAGTCAGTAGAAGAATATGTTTCTATGTTCATTTATGTGCTGTACAGAACACCTTCTGCAAACAAGGCTACTGCATAAATTAATAATAATCTCAAATATATCCTAAGACATAGAAACCTGATATTTTCAAAGCATATTATGTCATACAGCACAATGTCAAAAGAGTAGTTACAATTTTAGATGGGAATCAGGATGCGATTAGATTCTCTGTTACAGTTTATTTACATTTAAAATGATCCTAATTTTCAATAACAATTGATTTTTAGCATTAGGAAAACTGTGCAATTAAAAAAAAAAAACAAACTTTGGAGTCAAACATAGTAAACTTGAAAAATTGGCTCTACTCATCATTCTGAGGCAGGGGCAAATTTCTATTAACATTGAGCCTGTCACATGGTGCATGCCCAACCCATGGTAATGACCATTAGTGTTGTTAAATTTTTTGCTTGAACTTTTATATACTGAATTTAGAACTAATGTCGTTGATTTAATTTTGTGTTAGTATATTGTAGTAATGTGTTTTTTATTAAGATATTAGAAGGAAGTATATTTGTACCATTAAATATTTTTGATTCAATTATAAAGAAAATGCAAAAGATTTGAAATACAATTACATGGAAATATTTACCTAGAACTGATGGTATACAAGTTCCTCCATTCTGGCAGTAGTTGGTACAGTGGTTGACTTCACATCTTTCTCCTGAATAACTAGGCCAACAGTGACACCTCAAATCACCCTTCTCATTGAAAATGCACCTTCCTCCATTTTCACAAGTTAATTTACATGAATCATCTGTTTATGAGAAGAAATGTAAAAATTAGCATATTGTCAGGGAGTAATTGAATAAAAGCAATTCAAATAGATACAACATTTCAATATTAGGATCTTTTGTTTCCATAAAATAATTACCCCAAGTACAAAAGTAGAAAAAAAAGTAATATTGGAAAACAGATTCTAATTGTTGAATGGTAAATGGTAAATATACATATTAAAATAATGTATATTCTTCTTTAAACTTAAAGCATTATTAACCTTTTCTTATATTTCTAGAATATTAAATGATAAAACTAACTGAAACTTTGTAAAAGTAATATATTTTCATCTTCTTTCTTTATTATTTTATTGAGACAGGATCTTGCTCTGTCACCCAGACTGGTGAGCAGTGGCATAGTCATGGCTCTCTGCAGCCTCAACACACTGGGCTCCAGTGATCCTCCCACCTCCACTTTCCAAGTAGCTGGGACTATAGTGTGCACCACCATACTTGGCCAATTATTACTTTTTTTTTTGTAGAGACAGGGTCTCACTATGTTGACTAGGCTTCTAAAAGTCATATATTTTCCACCCAACAAATTGTCTTTATAATATGAGCCAACATAGCTTATTTTTAGGAATAGTTAATATTAAAAAGAAAACTTTAAATTTGTAAAATAAATTTATAGCATACACACATACACACCCACACACAATTTGTTCTATAATGTATGTATGATTATACACAGTATAGAGAAATGTTTACATGAAGACATACTCTTTGATGTTGGTCTTTATTAAGCATATATAAATGTCCCAAACTAAAAGTCATTGAGATTTAGTACAAGTTAGTGATAGAATAATGACAGAAACATTTCCATATGTAACATTTGTCCCAAATGATTCTGTACAATCTATCTACTTAATAATATTTTGATTGAGAATAAAAAGATTGGACATTCCTTAGGGGAGCAAAATTATTTTTAATAATTTGGAAAGTATGATTTATGATAAAGATAGGTTTGAAGCCATTTTCAAGGTTATTTTTTCTTGCATATTGACATGGCCTTCTCTATTAGAAATGCTGCTTTGCTTTGAGCAACATACAGTGTTCAATGGAACAAAACTGATGGATAAACTTGTAATAAGCATTGTATTCTAGAATATGCCCTTTGCTATAGTAATGTCTATTTTATAGTTAAAGTAGGTAAAATCAAAACAATCTATAATCCTTATTCAAGATGCACTGGCACATAGATGGCAGAAGCTTGAATATACCACTGCAATGATTTCAGGAGCATCTTAAAGCACCTCAGTGACTTCAAATGACACAATGATTCAAGTATCATGTCCACTGTCATAAATAAGAACTGTGAGCAGTGCCATACATTTCTGAGACTCGCCTCATTGCAGAGAAAAGTTTCAAATACATTGCCATGTAGGCAGGCTTCAGATTGGCATTACTAAAGTTTGTAATATGAAGAACTCTCTCATGATGTAATATAAATATATTTTCAAAAGAGTACTGTGGTATAACGAAATCTGTATTTAGGTCTTAGTTTTGCTGCTTACCACGCATACAAGTTACCTGATTTGAGCCTCGCTTACTTCACTTCAAAATGTCCTTAATGATAAATACACAAGTTAACTCAGGTTTGTAAGAATAGTAAATAAGAAATTGGAATAAATATAAAATTATAAAACTTTGTAAATATTAAGTACGTAAGTGTAAATATGTACTATACAGACATATACACAAATGAAAATTTGACTTCCAGCCCTTATCTATTGTATCTAGACTAGGAGAAAGATGAAGAGCTGACAGTTGGTGTCCAAGATGTACTGTGGAATTTCAACAGGCAATTGATACACTCATTTGTTAAAGTAAGTAAGTAGCATTTTTATTCAGCATTACTGACTGAACGCCCACAAGGTTACTGAGGATAGAGCTCCAGTAGAATAACATCTATGGGTGAGCACTGGAGGAAATGAATGATTCATTCATTTCTGACCAGGAGAATTAGGAGGGAACACAAGGAGGACAGGAAATGGAGGGGTGGTTTCAAGTTGGCATACTAAATTGAAGATGTCTATGCAGATGTAAGTGGGAATTTCCAGCAAATAATTGAATACAGAAGTCAGACTCCTAAGAAATATGTGGAGTGGAAATATGTTTGTTTAATTTAAAATTTATCAAAACCTTTCTAACTCAGTCAACATTATTTATCCTAATAAAGGTTATGGATGTGAACAGTAAAGATAAACATTTAAGGCATTATAATCATAGGTAGGATTATTATGGGTTACTCATTATTATCTGTAAATTCTAAGAAAATCACAAAAATATTCAAAATCCCTACATGTTGGGGTATGCACATTACTATAACATGCCTCATTAGGAACCAGAAATTTAAAAGTACAATGCTGCCTCATGAAATGGAAGTAGAGGTACATTCTTTCAAAACCCATAATAATGGTTCCATAATGAAAAAGAAAGCTGCTTTTATCAATAACTGAATCACCCCCCAGAAGCCAACCTCCAGCAATTATAATCAACTATAGGAAAAGCAGGTGAACACTTCCCCAAGGATTAGTAATATTTGATTTCAAATTTCTTACATGAAGATTAAAAATGTTCCGGATGCTCATAATTTTACAATAGCAGCAAGAAGAAGGCAAATAATTATAAAGAAATGAAAAGATTGACTACAGCAAAAGTTAATGTCAGAAAAAAATATAACTGGCATTTATCTTCACCAATCAATAATTCTGAAATCCACTCATTTATGTTCCAATTGAAGTGGTTCAAAACGTTTATTTTTCAAGACCTATATGTGTAAAAGCTAATTTGAGTGTTTTTATCACTTTGACTAAATGTAGGATTTTCTCTTAAATTACAAGAATGGGCTTTGAGGTTTCTGAAACCATGCCTTTTAAGCAAGGTTGAAAGAGAAAAACACATCTCCAAAAATGTTTTAGATGTGGATAAGTGTGTATTTAGATAAGCAAGATTTCTTTCAGACCTAAAATGATACAATTTGGAGATTAAACGGAGAAAAAAAAACTTGTTTCATTTTCTTACCTATTTCAAAGTGACACATTGGTTTTAAAGGGCTATGTGTCTACTTTTTGCAAGGTATTGTGCTGTCTGTTCTATGCATGTTATTGCTAGAATTTCCAGTAACTCTGGAAATGGGTTCTCTGGGCGACACAGAGACACTGGGATGTATTGTGTGATGATCAACAGAGTGGACCACCTACATTCACCCTGGAAATTTACTAAGGAATGTTAGACAATCAAACGAGCTTCTAATGCTGCCATTTTATCTGTAAAGTAGGGGAAATTACTAGGTAATAAAATGTGAATATTAAATAAATATGTACGTATACAAATATACATAGAATTATGTTTTCCTCATATATTTTCAAAATATTTAGTAGTGATAGTAATATTAGTAGTATTTATTACTAATAAAATGTTACATAGAATAAACTGAGACCAAGGGAGGCAGGTATAGTATAAAATCCAAGGACAACAAAGTCGTTTAAGTGGTAGACCTTGACCTAATCTAAAGTTTCATCTCAGCCCTGCACTAGGTCACATCCTTGCAAGGTATTCAGAGAGTTTAGTTTGTTAGATACATAATTTGGACCAAATAAAGAGGAAAGGAGGAGGATTACATAGAAAAGAGAGTGGAAACAGGATTACATAAAAGAGGAAAGGAAAACCAACAAAAACTGTCTGAAACTTGACTCAAATAAATACTTGTACCATCGGAGGCAATGTAAAAGTCCCTTGGTAGCATTATTAGTTCATTTGTGTGTAATCCTAATTTCTGTCCTAGGTACCTCTCAAATTTTCTAAGTAGACCCAGTACACAGGAGGCACCTGTGAGGCCAATGGGTAAGGGATTATGTGGAACTGCTGAAGGTATGACATTTCTATAGAAAAGTTGTTCACATTTAAAGAATCTGTTTCTGAGAGGTTAAGTGGAATAGGTACCTTTGCAGTGTTTACCTCTGTGACATAGTCAGAACAGCGTTCAAGAAAGTGGTACTAACAATGTTCAGAAATGTTCACTTGATTTCTCTTATTCTCTCCACCATTGAGGTAACAGCTATGCTGACTGAGAGAATGGGTAGAGGGAAAGGGAGCATCCTAGTGGCATAATGGCATCCCTTTTCAATAATTGGCACCAAAGTGCCCATCCAAAATACCGATCATGATTCACACTTAGCTCTCTGTTATGAACTTTCCAACTTTATTACTCAAAACCGGGCTTCACACTTCTCCACACTAACTAAAATGAATGACTCATTATTTTCTTTACATACCATGTTTCCATATCTTCTCAGACACTTTTCCTGTCTCTGTGTCCTCCTCCCTCCCTCCCATTTAATCTCAACTCAATCTGCCTTTGTAGACCTTGTTTAAATGTCATATACTATAGGAGATTTGGACTGATCCCCTATTTGAAGAATAATCTGGATTCTCACAATAGTTTTAACGCTGTGTCTTCTCTTGTGTCACGGTCCACATCAGTATCTATTTATTGGTGCTTACGTTATTTATCAAGTCATCTTTTCAACCCCTTCAGCTCTGCATATCCAACGCTTAAAGGGTATATATTAAATGAAAGTGCTATAATGGTTTTAGACATTGACTGCCTTATAAAGGGCAAAAGTCTTCAAATTGGATGTACCTTTATCAGAAAACAAGAAGAAAATCGTGCAGGGGTGGAGATGCTGACTGAAGGTAAAGAGCCAGAGTCCATGCCAGGAGTACATTCTAGCAGAGGGGAATATAACAAGTAACAACCCCTGGCATGAATAATGTTTGTACCTTGTTGGAAAATGTTTGTTGTGACCCTCAAGTGATTTTGGAGCACTGCATTTTTCTTTTTTTCCCTTTTTGTGGAGAATGGGTACTTGGTACATCGCCCAGGCAGGTCTCGAACCTCTGGGCTCAACTTAACTTCTGGCCTCTGCCTCGCTAAGTGCTGTGATTACAGACATGATCCACCACGCCTGGCAAGAGCACTGCCTTTGTGTCTGTGACATAAAACGTAGTACATGTTGTCAGGTGTGGTGGTTCACCCCCGTAATCCCAGCACTTTCGGAGGCAGAGGTGGGCAGATCACCTGAGGTCAGGAGTTCAAAACCAGGCTGGCCAATATGGCAGAACCTCATCTGTACTAAAAATACAAAAAAAAAAAAAAAAAAAAAAAATCCAGGCATGGTGACACACACCTGTAGTCCCAGTTGCCCAGGAGGTTGAGGCAGGAAAATTGTTAGAATTCAGGAGGTGGAGGTGGCAGTGAGCTGAGATTGTGCCACTGTACTCCAGATAGGGTGACAGCAAGACTCCATCTCAATAAGAATAAATAAATAAATACATAAAATAAAATAATTTTTAAAAGTACTATGTGTGGATTTTTTTTCTTTTAGTAACAATATTTCTTCCCATTATAGCTAATGTCTTGAATGTGAGGAAATTTATTTATTGTCAGTCTAACTGGATATTCAAGAGACATATGTTCTTTCCCTTTGCTATCACGCTGTTTTGTGTTGTATTTTATTTTATTTTTTGTCATTTAATACTTAGCATCTGAAATAATGTTTCAATTTTTATTTATTACTCCAGCTTCTAGCGTCTGAAATACAAACTACATGAATGAAAAAACTTATCAGTTTTGTTTCTAAGTTAGTTTTTAGGTTTTACATTATTGTTATGCCATGTTCATAAGCCCTCAAAATATTTATTATTATTATTATTATTTGTAGTAATAGTGGCAGAAGCAGTAGCTGTAGCAGTATTATAAGTTCCATTTTACACAGAAGCTAAAATTTGGTTTCTAGATTAATTATCAATTTCTAAGTTAGCCTTTGTCACACAAGAGGTATTCAATATGAACATATTAAATAAATAAACAGATTTTTGGGCTGAGTTTAAACCTATAGCAGAATGTTGTTCTTAAAAAATATTATTGTCTTATCTAATACAACAAGAGTTACATAAAAATGCTTTTTGGGTCTGTGAGTGACTTTGAAGTTCTCGATCTGTTGTTAAGTGCCTGTAATTGCTGCTTTGTGAACAAATGTCTTCATGAACAGAAGTCTTCTCCAGAGAAGAGAATAGTTTACACGGGCATTAAAGAACAATTGCTATCAAGGTAGCTAAATTTATGATAAAGCAGATAAGTGTACTCAGTTTCACTAGTTGTAAAATTTTATGATAAGGATTAATTCATTATTTACAGAATAATGAAGTGTACCTACCTAACAGGCTGTCATCATTGCAGGTGCCATTAATCAAATATTTTCCTTCTGGACACACACAAGTGGCCCCAGAAGGATTCAGCAAGCAGAGGAATTCACATGCTAAATCCAAGCATGGATTGGGTACTGGTTAAACAAAACAAAAGAAAACAAGGAAATGTGCAAATCTAGATACAATAGGCTTCCAACGCATAAAATCAAATAAGGTGAAATGATTAATTAGCAATATTGAAAAGTAATCACATCAAATTTCCACTGGGAGTATCTTACTCAATGTCCTAATTCTCCTTTATAAGTGAAGAAAAATTACTACCCAATGTTCGTCATTAACAGTACGTTTGCCTTATTCACGTTTTCCAAAAGAGATAATAAATTATTCAAATATACTTTGTTATCCTTGCTTCTGGCTAATTGCTTTTGGCATAAGAGTGGGTCTTAGAACCTGAAGTACCATTGGAGCTGTGTTGAAAAGTATAGCCAATGGAAGTTTTGGGGGAATCTAACTTTCATTTTAGATCTTCACAGAGCTGTTCTAATGGAAAAAAACAGTGCCCACCCTCCGCCTTTTATTTATTAACACAAAGGATTAAAATGCATATGTAACTTTTCAGTTCAAGGTAAAAACAAATAAAACATACAACTTAAAAAATGTCTAAAATGGCTTCCTTTTCATCAAGTAGAAGTTTGTGTGCATATGTGAATATATGCCGTACTTATTTTAAATTTTTATCCAGTGTACAGCCTTTGCTGTCATAGCTGATTTTTGACCTTTCCTAGAGATTATTTTATTAGAAAATAATTAAGCAGGAATGGTACCCATAGTTGAGCTGGTGACTATGAGAGTGCCTTTTTTTTTTTTCCTGTAAGAACCACTATTCAAATGCCAATTACATTCAAGACAGGGTTTTATTTGTTTACTTTCCATGAATGTGGCAATATTCAACTATGAATATGAATTAAACAAAACTAGAGGATGACAGAAAGTGTCCTCATATTAACCTTGGAACCTTATGGGACAAATTATTGGTAAAGAGCAGCAAGACTTTGGATAGAATTGAGGACTTTTTAGGAAACTATATTTTGTTTCATTCTGTTGTGAGAACTGATTTGAATAAACACCAATTGCTATCTTTCCAGATAAATGCACCAGACAGGATAAAATCCATTTCATTTGCCATAAAGAGTAATTATAAAAAAAAGTCTTGAACAGCATCTTGAAGAGTGAACTGATACATAAAGACAGATTATTAGAACTTAAGCCACATTATTATTTTTCATTTTGTTCTTAAATTTTTTTGATAGCTGTGTTTGAAACATATTTTTCAAGAGAATTTCCTTAATTACCTTAACGATTTACCCACTGCTTCCTAGGAGGGGGGAGTAACAATAATAAGTATATACAATACATCAGAGAAAATATACAACTCTTCTTGGGAAGAGTTCATTTTGTATATATTTAAGAATAGAAGGTGAATACTATGGTAGTTACTTGTTGGTTAGTAACAAGAGTCAAAATGATGAACAAATAAATTATCTTACTTGTATAGTTCATCTATATACTCACAAAATTCTATTAAGAATTTTAGAAGTGGAATAGCAGATTATCGTAACAAAGATAATTTTAATTTCAAGAAAACTTGGCCAAATGCTAAAAAATTTCCCTGTTATGGCAGAAATAAAATAGCTATATTTTGACTCCGGTAACTGAAAAAGTCTAGTGACATCAAAATCAAAGTTACTTAGCTTACTGGGGTTCAGACATTTACATAGTTAATATATTTTAAAATATATTTGTGAGAGATATAAGAAAAAATTACCAATACAGATAACTTCATAACATATGATACTTACAGTTTAGTTGTTTATAACGATGAGATATCAAAACACCTTTTGTTTTATCAATATTTAAAGCTAAGTATTCTACTGAACCATGGCCAAATTTTTGTACTCGAAATACACCATTTTTGGGGCCTGCTCCATATATGTAGTCTTCAAAGATATCGATCCTATGTGGATGTAATAAGCCTGGAATTTAAAAAGTTAGTATTGAAAGTTTTAATGTACATACTCAGACTTTTAAAACTATGTTTATCCAAGACTATATTGAAATTCTTATTCCTATTTAAAAATAAACTTTTAGGATTGGAATATTTATATTATCTATGAAGTTCTTAGAATTAATATATCTAAAGTAAGGATATGCAGTATAGTAAATATGTCACTCAAAACATAAAAATACACTTCCATTATCACTTTAATAATCTTTACCATCACAAAGCATTTGCTGGGGATTATTATTTGCAGACTAATCCTCTATGCTATACAGTTGACAGAGAAAAGCCAGTGTCATCTGTGGCATAAAAGCAGTTAGTTTACACAACTCAGTTTGTGTTCTGGATCAAATAAATGATCAAATTACATGCCTGAATGACTGGTTTATTAAGCAATCATTAGTCGATTTTAAAGAGTAAATCCAAAAATATTTGACATCACTATTGTCCATTTTAGAAATGGAATAAACAAATGGTAAATGATGATCATTCATCTGACTCATTTGGCTAAAAATAATACTAACCATTATTTTCACATTTTGGGACTCACTTTCAGAGATTTTATCAAAAGAATAATTATTCTAACTTTTGAAGCTGTAATATGTAACAAATAAAATGACAAAACTTATATTTTACTAATAACCTGGAGGTTGTCTTTATATTTGTATATTTTTCTTCGTAATTTCATGAAATAGTAAAGTTTGCACTAAAGCCTAGTTAACTTAATTGTAATTAATTATAGGGAAGTAGAATTTTTTTTTTATCTGAGGTCATTGATAGGAAAAAAACACACTTTAGGCAAAGGCCCAATAAAAAATTGATTTAATTGTTTTTCTTTCAATTTCCCCATTTGTGTTTAAAAAAAAAATCCAGAAGCAAAGCTATATTCAGTAAATATATAACATGCAACTATAAAAATCTCAAATGGATATGATGAATAATTTGTGGTTACAAAAAACTGTGGGAAGGGGTTGAAGAAGAGAAAAGAAAGTGAAACAGAAAAGGGAGAAATTAGATTCAGCAGAAAGAACTGAGACAGCAGGCAGAAAAAAAAGTGTGAGGAACAGAAGGGAGCTGGAAAAAATGAGAGAGTAAAAAATAGGAGGCAGGCGGAGAGGTGGGTATAAAAGCGGTATAACAACGGAAGAGCACAGTAGATTGGGTGGTCACTGGTGGTAGAGTTAAATGGTCATTTTTGATACATTGCTGTTTATATGAATAAGGGTATCCTTCAGTGGTAACAATCATCACTGTGATATTTTGCTATATACAGTAACTCATTTTTGGCTTGTTATCATTGCAATTTGAAACAAAAGTTTGTGTTCACAGGTGCTGACCTTGACTACTAAAAGTGTTCTGCTCAGAATGGAATAGCATGGAAGCCACAGAATAAAATTATTTTCTGAATCTGGGCAGCAATGGCCATGTTTGTCCAAGTCAAGATGGACAAACTTCTGACCTGGCCCCTTTGTTTTTCCAGTAGGTATGAACATTTTAATTACTAGTAAGAGTTATAAGTTGCAAGGAGAAAGAATTTAAGAAAATCCAGAATGCAAAGCATCCATACTTATGTTTATGTATTTGTATCTAACACTCTCGGTAACAATCAAAAATGAAGACAAAAGCACTTCACAAACCTTGTTTGCTGCTGACGGAAACTACTGAATTAGAGCCATCATACAGAACACTGCCAATGATGGAGAGCTCAAAGTCAGCCCAATATATGCGTTCACTAAAATAATCCACAGCCAAACCTGCAAAATCAACATATATAAGACAAATAGTACAAATAAATTTGAAATTTTTCAAAATCATACTTTTGCTTCTTATTGTGTAATTACAGGTGACATTTGTCTTCAATCATCATAGAAATTACACAGTGCCCATCATGATACTGTAGAAATCAGAAAAAATAACTCAGTCTTTATCTCAAATACGTGGGTTTGGAATACACGGCATTTACTTCACAAACTCTAGCAAAAGCCTGTTTCACATTGGAAAATCTGCCCTAACTATCCCTGCTACCCATATTTATGGTTGCTTAATTATAGCTATTCTCTAATAGACTTTTCCCTAATTCCATTTTCATCTTCATATTATACAGAGAATGAATTCATTACTTAAATCATTTATCCAACCATTATTTAAAATGAGTTAGTGTAATTATTTGTATTTTTAATTTTTGCAAGGAAGTATAGTTCTCAGAATATAAAAGGTTCATGTACTTAATTAAAAGACATATTAACCCATTAACAGTTGGCTGACAGTGTTATTGGACATCTGTGTACATGCTGAAGTTAATGTGACCAAAGATTGATGTTGGGCAGGTGTGGTGGGCCATGCCTGTAATCTCAGCACTTTGGGAGGCCAAGGGGGGCAAATCACAAGGTCAGGAGTTTGAGTTCAGTCTGGCCAACATGGTGAAACCGCATCTCTACTAAAAATACAAAAATTAGCCGAGTGTTGTGGCACATGCCTGCAATCCCAGCTACTCAGGAAGCTGAGGTAGGAGAATTACTTGAACCTGGGAGGCAGAAGTCAGTGAGTGGAGATCACACCATTGCACTCCAGACTAAGCTACAGAGTGAGACCCTGTCTCAAGAAAAAAAAAAAAAAAATGATGCTTATGGTAGGGAAGAATAAAAGGAAAGTTCTCAATTAAAGTTCTAGTGATTCTTAAATTAATTTTCTCTGAGACTGTTCATTTTTATCATAGGTAGATGTCAGTGAATGATAATGGACTGAAATAATACACAGTAAAAATAATATTTTTCTACTGTTTTAGTTTTAATTTTTGATTTCATGAATGTGATTGGAGTCCATTCAGTATCTTTTCATAAGATATCCTCAACACATAGAATATCTAAGAAAGCATACTTCCTTAAATATGGAAGAGTATTATGTATGACTCAGGAATTCTATAATAAATCTTCACTGCTGTAGATTAATTTTTGTGGCATAGCTACTGTCTAAATACAAAATACTACATAACCTGAAAGAACAATGCAGTTATATACCTTAGGAAACTGAAGAGCTTTCCTAATCAGAACACTGAATAAGCAACTGCAGTATATTTTAATGGCAAGGCAACTGAATGAAAGGTACTTTTGACTCTGTGCTAGACCTTTATTCCCATGTAACTGAACCAAGACTTAATAATAAGAATATAAATAATCCATGTTGGAAATCATTTGTGAATAATTCTTCAGTTAATTATAAATATTTAGCCTATGTGTAATCAAACTAATGTAATGTATAGAGATGTACCATGTGTGACCAGATTCTGAGAAATAATTTAACAATTAAGCAAGTGGTCCTTGTTTTACTGGTTTCTGCTCAATGAGTAATTTGCTCTTTGAAGTCATGTAAAAAGAGATTTTTTTTCATTTTCACATAGAATTATGAGTAATATGAACCACAAATTATCCAGTTTTTTTTTTTTTTTTTTTTTGCTGCTGCTTCTATAGTTCAAAACAGCTGACTGAGAAGGGTTAAAAACATGTTTCTCTCTCCTTTACCAATGTGCTATAATAATGAAGTAGCTGAAACAAAAACCTGTTCCTGATAACATTAGTTTTACACTTAAAAATATTAATATTGGCAATCATGGAAAAGAAAAAACAATGAGTATGTAATCCAATTTAATCAACAATATTGTTTTGCAGACTCAGAGGCAGTAAAAGGTTTTCAAAAGCGTCACATATTGCATTATTGGTCTAGGTTGGTCTAAGGCATACCCGTCTTTATCAGCTCTGTCCACAGTTTGTATTATTGGATGGAATTACATCTAGATAAAAATTATATAACAAAGTTTATAGATGAGTGGAATTTATACTCCAGAAAATTCACAAATCAATAATTTTGATTTTTTTATTAAACCCTTTAATAAAAAAGATAGACTTCTAAATTAAAAAGTTAATAAAGGAATCAACTAACTTTTCCCATTACAGAGATGAGAATCAAGTTTATATGAATGAACAAGTTCATGTCTAACTTTAAAATATCACACCTTCTTTTGTTCTGTAATAAAGAACCAATAATAAAATGGGGGAAAATCAATTCTCAGGAAACTCATTCTTACCTGAACAGGGAAAGACGAATATTTGGAATCTAGTCAGTAGAACCACAGAAAATTAGAAATAAAATGCCATACTTCTTGTAATCAAGTATAATGGAATCACAGTTTGAAAGGTTTATAAAAGATAAAGATATACGCTTACTAAGTTTTAGTGACACAAGATAATGGAGCTAATTATGTAATCATTTGTTTTACATTTCCCTTGATATCAAGACTATTATTACACTTTTGGATTTTAAATTTCACTTTTGTTGAACTTTAAAATTTTCTAAGATCTACTAGTTTACCTATTTCCATCACAGGCTGGAAAAAATGAAAGAAAAAAGTAAAATGGAAAAAATCAAAATGTTATATGAAATGACTATAGTATGTAACACATTGACTTTTAAGAGGCAGGACTTGGAGAGAACAATAAATTTAAATCACTGTTTTTCAGAAATGGAGAAAAAGATTTTATACATTCTGTTTTAGTGGAAAGCCAAGATTTGTAAGATAGTAATAACCATTAAGTGTAAACTACTATATTCTTGATTTAATAGGTGATACAAGGAACCAAAGTTGGGGGGAAACTAGATACAAGCTGTTATAATGCAAATTTATTTAAAAAAATTTTTAGAAGTATTATTTGAGTTCAGTTGCCTATTTCAAGTTTTAGATTAGAAACTACATTAAAGTTATGTTTTTATACACAAATACACACAAACTTATTTCACACACACACACACACACCTATCTGTTTATATCAGTGTTGGTAAACTAAATTCAAGTAACAGTAAAATAATCCTAATATTTATATACACTTTATTTAATTAGAGACCTTGTGTTGGCCAATGAATTAGCTTAATGAATCAAACAATTATGAGTGCTCCACGGCCAGGATGTAGTTATTTATTTTCTTAGAAATTGCTGCAATTTGGAGGAGATAGTAGGCAACATAAATAAGATTTTAAATATTAAAGAATGTAGTTTGTATAGTTAAATATCAAAACATATAGTTTAAATAACAAAGAATATAGTTAAATATCAAATAATACAGTTTGAAATAAAACTGATGTAATACTACATACCCTCCTTACTAGATGCAAAGCTGGAAAGTGTCCTTGTCTGACACCCTGAATACTCATGGCTCCCCTGTACCACACACTGCCATGTGCTATGTACAGAGCAAACAACAAAAGAGTTTATGCTCCTCAAACTTCAAAATAATAAGAGCCATTTATGACACACCCATAGCCAATATCACACTGAATAGGCAAAAGCTGGAAGCATTTCCCTTGAAAACTAGCACAAGACTAGAATGACCTCTCTCATCACTGCTATTCCACATAGTACTGAAATTTCTGGCCATGGCAATCTGGCAAGAGAAATAAATAAAGGGTATTCAAATAGGAGGAGAGAAAGGCAAACCATCTTTGTTTGCAGATCACACGATTCTATATCTAGAAAACTCCATTTTCTCAGCTCAAAAGCTTCTTAAGCTGATAAGCAACTTCAGGAAAGTCTTAGGATACCAAATCAATATGCAAAAATCACATGCATTCCTATACACCAACAATAGACAAGCAGAGAACCAAATCATGAACAAACTCACATTCACAATTGTTACAAAGACAACAAAATACTTAGAAATACAGCTAACAAGAGAAGTGAATAACCTATTCAAGGAGAACTACAAACCACTGCTCAAATAAATCAGAGAAAACACAAAGAGATGAAAAAACACACCATGCTCATGGATAAAAAGAATAAATATTGTGAAAATGTCCATACTACCCAAAGTAATTTATAAATGTAATGCTATTCCAATTAAACTACTATTGACATTTTCACCAAATTAGGAAAGAAGAAAAAAAACTACTTTAAGATTCATAGGGGCCAGGCTTGATGGCTCACACCTATAATCCCAGAACTTTGAGAAGTTGAAGCAGGTTTAACACTTGAGATCGGGGGGGCAGGGGTTCAAGACCAGCCTAGCCAACATGGTGAAATCCTGTCTCTACTAAAAATGCAAAAACAAGCTGGGCATGGTAGTGGGTGCCTCAAATCCCATCTACTTGGGAGGTTGAGGCAGGAGAACTGCTTGATCCCAGAAGGCAGAGGCTGCAGTGAATCAGAATTGTGCCACTGCACTCCAGCTTGGGTAACAGAGCAAGATTCTATTCCAATAGTAATAATAATAATAAGGAACCAAAAAAGAGCCCATGTAGCTAAGATAATCCTAAGCAAAAAGAACAAAGCTGGGGGCATCACATTACAAACTATACTACAAAGCTACAGTAAGCAAAACACCACAGTACTGGTACAAAATAGAGGCATAGACCAATGAAACAAAGTCACAGCTCAGAAATAAGATTGCACACTTACAACCATCTGATTTTCAACAAACCTGACAAAAACTAGCAATGGAGAAATGAGTCCATATTTAACAAATTGTGCTAGGAGAACTGAATAAACATATGCAAAAAATTGAAACTGGATCCCTTCCTTTCACTTTATACAAAAATTAACTTAAGATGGATTAAAGACTTAAATGGGAAACCCAAATCTATAAAAATCCTAGAAGAAAATTTAGGAAATACTATTCAGGACATAGGCACAAGCAAAGAGTTCATGATAAAGATGTCAAAAGTAATTGTAACAAAATAAAAAAAAATAATAAATGTGATCTAATTTAACTATAGTGCTTCTGCAAAGCAAAAGAAAGTATCAGAGTGAACAGACAAGCTACAGAATCGGAGAAAATTTTTGCAATCTACCCATGTGACAAAGGTATAAATTCAGAATCTACAAGGAACTTAAATTTACAAGAAAAATAACAACCTCAGTAAAAAGTAGTCAAAGACATGAACAGACACTTTTCAAAAGAAGACATCCATGTGGCCAACAAACATATTAATAAAAGCTCAACAGCACTATTAGAGAAATGCAAATCAGGAGAACAATGGGATAGCATCTCACATTCGTCAGAATGGCAATTATTAAAAAGCCAAGAAACAATAGATGTTGATGAGGCTGTGGAGAAATAGGAACACCTTTACACTGTTGGTTGGAATGTAAATTAGTTCAACCATGTGGAAAACAGTGTGGCAATTCCTCAAACACCTAGAATCAGAAATACTATTTGACCCAGCAATCCCATTGCTGGGTATATACCAAAAAGAATATAAATAATTATATTATAAGGACACACACATGCATATATTAATCACAGCACTGTTCACAATAGCAAACGAATTGGAATAAACCCAAACATCTATCAATGATAGACTGCATAAAGAAAATCTGGTACATGTACACTGTGGAATACTATGCAGCCATAAAAAGGAATAAGATTATGTCCTTTTCAGGGACATTGATGGACCTGGAAGCCATTATCCTCAGCATAAAGAGTTCATGTTCCTCCTCTCATAGAGCTGGTTACTTACCTGCCACAAACTTGATTGAAACAGAACATATATTGTATTTATTATGTCTTATATGGTGCCCAATGACAAAAATAATAAGTGTGTCATGTGAAGGCACATATTATTTGACTCATTTTTTAAATCAAAATTATACAATGGCTCAATATTGGCTAAAAAGTTATATTGAAACCCCTTGGCACTTAAGGTCTTCTATTCTCACATGTTATATCACCCAACTTATTCCCTTCTAGATGTGCCATGATTCCTGACATGAGCAGAGCAACCACGTGCTCTACACTAGAGCCCCTGGCTCAGAGGACTATATTATTTCATATATCTGATATTTCTAAGTTAGTTATTGTTATCTTTTTTTAAAGGGAGTGTCACTCTTGTTACTCAGGTGTCAGTGTAATGATGGGATCTCACCTCACTGCAACCTCTGCCTCCTGGGTTCAAGCGATTCTCATGCCTCAGTCTACCAAGTAGCTGGGATTACAGGTATCCACCACCATACCCAGCTAATTTTCTTGTATTTTTAGTAGAGACAGGGTTTCACCATGCTGGCCAGGCTGGTCGCAAACTCCTGACCTCAGGTGATCCACCTGACTTGGCCTCCCAAAGTGTTGGGATTACAGGCATGAACCACCATGTTCAGCCAACCTTTTGCTTTTCTATTGATAAAGCAAAAGTTTGAAGGAAATATGTTCATTTATGAGATCTCACAGCTAATAAATAATCCATTGAGGTTAAAAACCAGGTGCATTTGACCCCAAACAAGAATTTTCTAAAAATTTCCTCACGATGGATTACCTGTCCATTCTTCAAATACTTACTCAATTGTCACTTTTCACATAGTTTTTCTGTATTGGCGATTATCTTTCTCACCTCTAAACTCTGATATTATAAAATACAAAACAATTCTCACCTTTTGCAAAAATGACACTTACTTCTGCACATGCCTTATTTTTTCTTTCTTGAATGTAAAATTTGTGAGAAAAAGGACTGTGTCATGTTCATCACTAAGTTACCCATGAGTAAAACATGGAAGATGTCAAATCTGTGCGTCTGTCACTAGGACCAGTGTTGAAGACACTGTTGTGCCTGTGCAGATCTCGTTTACTAAACAGGAGTACCCAATTCCACATTGGTGCTTTTGCAATGAGGACTTGCATATATTCTTCTCCAGATAAGTGTGCTTAGCTGATTGAAGCAGCTTTGCTTGGAACATCACAGCCCCAAGGCCAATTAATGACTGATGGGTTACATTAAAAAACAGATGCCCTTGTCTGTCATAAATTGATGCTCCAAACATAACCATCGACTAGGCTTCACCTGAAACACAGTTTACTGGATTCCTTCCCCTCCTCTCTGTCTTTTACAGCTTTCTTCTGCATAGCACTTCCTTCATAAATGGCTTTTATAAGAATCCTCACCTTAGGCACTCTCCTAAGTACCATGCTACAGGTAGTTCTACAAATTGCTGCCAGTGACATTCTTTAAAATAAAAACAAGTTACATATACTATTAATATGATTATGTGAAATGTTAACACCAAAGAAGTATTTTTAAAATGAAAACTGTGTTTGAAATTATGCCACTCACCTTGCCAATAACCTCAAAACACTCTCTTTAAAGCTAAAATAGAATCCAGTTTTGCATTTGAGGGCCCTAGTCACCTTGCTATCCTCATATCTTCCAGTCTTCTGAATTGTTTATATGCTTCTAGGCATAGTAACCTTCTTGCTGTTTTCATGCTAAGCTAATTTCTTACTCAGAACTGACTATTCTCTTTTCTTAAAAAGCTCTTTCCTCACAACTTCATATGGCTTGCTACTTCTCTTTTTTTTAGGTCTTTCAATATCACCCTTCTATAGATGACTTCTCTGATCATCAAAACTAAAATAGTACTTTCATTGACAGCCCACCTTTCACTATGGTTTTTTGTATAGCACACATAAAAATGTGACAGTACATATAAATACATATTCTATCCTCTATAGAAATATAGATTTCATGAGGGTTAGAATTTGCTTCCCATTGTTCCTTTAGCATTTGAAACAATTCCTGGCACATTTGTTAATAAGCATGGGATGGAAACAGATTTATGTTAACAGACTAAGTTTCAAATATTGCTTCTTCCCATAAAGAGTAAAAGCCATCTAAATGAATGGAAAGATATAAAACATATTAACAATTAATAAGAACATAAGCACTAAATATAAATAATTTAAACTAGAAAAGATATTACAATGCATAATTGTTAGATAATATGTACTATAAACAATGCATTATGTCCTTTTGTGGAGGTGTAGTCAGTGGAAGGTGGGTGGCACAGAGCCCCTGAGGCTCCTGTTGTCTGCAAATGTTTTGTTGAAGAAGTACTAAAGTTAGATGTACAAGATGAGAAAGATTCAGCTAACAAGGTTTGGAAGGACATTCTAGATGGGGGATCTGGGAGAAATATGGCATGGGAAAAAGACCATGGAGACAGAAAAGAGCTGAACTCCTGGGCAGTCCTGAGAACACACAACATTTGGAGTAGCAGCATAGATGGCAAGTCAGCCTGGGAGACTAAAGCCATATTGAAAAGAGTTCTGAATGAAAAGGCAAAACATCATCAAACCTGTCCTTCACATAAAGTATTTATATTTAGCCACCTATTTGTTCATTTCATCTCTCATCCTCTAGAAATATTTCCAAATATCCCAACTTCATTCACATACATATGTAAAAATACCCTAATGGATCTCTATAAACTGTCAACATTTCATGCCTGTGAAATCCAACAAATAGCCCTATAACTTAGGCAAGTTTCAAATAATATTTATATAATATAACTGACAGTATAAGGACCTGATTTTCAAGTTGAGAGAATAGGACATGAAAGGCAAATAGCTTCATAAAATCATACTATAAATCATTTTATACACTTGTAAAAATACTTATGATGCCAACAAAATTAGAAGTAACTGTTAACAGAAATATATTTAGGACCCTGCTTCATATTTTAACATGCGTCAGAAATCATACCTGTGGGTCTCTGTATGTTCTTTTGTACTAAAATCCTTCTCAGTGTACCGTCCATGGCTGCTTCTTCTATGTGAGAGTGGTCCCCAACAACAGTCCAGTACATCATCCTGAAGACAGCAGGTCAAAGAGGTTAGCCTGATGATGGTGCTGCTATAACCTGATTCTGCTCCCCAAAGCAGTGGCTCTTCAGACCTTGTGCCTCAGAAGCACCCCCAGAGTCTCTTAAAAAGTAGATTTCTGGCTCCAACTCAAAACACACAGAATGAGAACCTCCAATAAACAGCTTGGGGAATCAACATTTTAAATAAAGTCTGGCCTACATACATTAAAATTTGAGAATCACTATATACTATGTTGTACCATAGTAATTATTTAATATCCAAAATTCAATTTTAAAGGTTTCATTAGAACTCAGAGGAAAATATTTCCATCACATGAAATTCTCTTTTGTTTCAATAGAATAGTCACTTTATTATGGATGCTGTATGAACATGCTTTTTAAATAGATTTATTGAGAAGTAACTATTTTCTGAAGCAGAAATTATTCTTTAATTGAGAAGACTGCATAATTATAATAATAAAATATAAATTGTTTCTTTTTACTAAGGAGTTATTGATCCACTTTATGGCTGATTAGGAGTTTTAGTTAATATTTTCTATTTCCTTTTTGGTCATTGCTTGTAAGTTTACATCTCTAACTAAAAAAAGAAAATATTTGTAATGCACTCTTTAAATTTGTTTGTATAGATACATATCTTCATCTTTTATTACCACAAATAGCCAAAAATGTTAGTACTCTACACATAATATGTTTGATATTATGTTTAATACTTTGATAATTCAATTGTAGATTAAAAACAGAGGTTATATGTTTATCACACCAGGCTCACTGTTTTACAATACATACATATAAGCATGCACAGACACGCATGTACAATGAATGCATAATACAGCAATATTTCATGAAAAATATATTTTGTGCCATCATTTGGTATGAAAAGGACATGCTTTTGTACAAAGGAGTAGTACGAGGATTTTTAAAAGTCATGTGACACTATTATACATTGAACACTCACTACAGAGACAAAATCTACAGAGCACATTTTCTATAAAAGATATTCATTATCAAGAAATAGAAATACTAAGCCATTAACGTACCCTCTTTTAGGATTTACAGCAATAGCATAGGGTTCTCCAGCCATATTTGTTAAGAGTCTGGTGCAGTTGGGGCCATTCAGCTGCCCTACGTTGATAGAGTACCTCAGACTTGTCCAGTGAGTAGTGTAGTAACTGAACCAGTGCATTCTAGAATGATCAGTCCAGTAAATGTTTCCAGCCACCCAGTCAACTGCAATGTCCCTGGGCCTTTTAAATTCAGGACACTACAAGGAAACAAAACAACACACCATGGTATTTTCAAAAGGAAATTAGCAGAATTTTCTGTGTCTTTACATTGAAGTTACGGGGGAATTATAAGAACATAGTCTTGTGTTAGTCATTACATAGATGTCAAAAAAGGTTCTTAATGCTGTTTTCAATCTTTGTAGATGTATATCTGCATGAATCTTAATTGTACAGACCACTGGAGTTTAACCAGTTGCACTCTGTTGAAATATTTCTAGAACTATAGGAGGTTCACCTGTGACTCCTTGCAGTCGATATTATCCTTAGAGCAATGATAATTCTGATATCTAATACCATAGATTAGTTTAAACAAATCAATGTAAAAAAGAATCATAATGTTTCATTCCAAAATTCATTTGTTTAACATCGGACTGTGAAATGTATCCTTGTTTCGTATTTGTCCATTTGTAATCTTTTCATTGCTCAGTAGTATTTGTTTACTGTTCTACTGATGATATCCACTTGGCTTGGTTACACTTTTAGGTCATTACAACTCATGTTGTGGATATTTTAGTGCATTTTTATTTGGTGGAGACAACCACTCAATTCCATTGGGTATTTACCAATGAATAGAATTAGTGTCTTCAAGTTTACACACACTTAGCTTGATAGGATACTGCTAGAAAATTTTTTCAAAATTTGTAGCAATGTACACTCTTTTCAGCAATGTGAGAAAAATCCAGGTGCTGTAATCCTCTCTACACATAATTTTGTTTTACAATTGAAAAAATGATTAGTACAACTAGACACATTTATGGAAATACTATATTTTAACAGCTTTTGAGGAAAGTCATAATATCTATTTACCTTACATTTAATAGGTTGGATTACCTTAACATTTGTTTTATTGAATTACTGTGAGACAAAGGTAACAGAATTCATTAAGACTAGACAGCAAGGAAAATAACTTATGTTCTGTGTCCTTCAATTAACTTGATCACTAAAAGTAGGAACTAGTGTAGTAATTAATTTGACATGGCCAGGTTTATTGTGCATAACCAAAAGTGAGAAGGTAATACCAGGGGTATTACAGCAAGAGTAGAAACAATTATTTGAAGGTGATTACAACTAGATGTGTAATCAATATGTAATAGCATCTTTAAGACCTGGGAAGCAGTGGAAATATGAGTTTTTAACACATGAAGTCTTTGTGTGTGGGTTTGGAGGAATTAATATTATCAATCAGTGAACTTGGATTAAAAGAAAAGAAACTGAACATCTCAAAAAGAACATGGGATGCCAAATCACTGTCTGCTGCATGGTTACTGGGATCTCAAACAAGGAAAATATGGCTTATTTGAACACAGAATCCATAGACAATTTCTAATGCCCTTTATTATCAGTTCTTCAACCCTTTGGGTTTTAAATCTGAAAATACAAAATGTTTTAGAACCCTATTTTTCAGCTTTAACAATAAATGTTATCCATATGCCCAGTGATATGAGTTATTTGAATTAAATATAAAGCACTATGCAATACAGCATACTCTAGAAATTTAATATAAATAATGTTCATAGATGTTTAGAATATAAATATTTGTCCTAGCCAAACCAAAAAATCATTTTCATATGTTCCAGTATCATTAAACTGTATTTTTATTTCCAACCCGTCATCATTTGAAAGTAAATATATCAACAAATGGCATGTGCATGTCAGTGTGAATCATAAATTTACAAACATGAAAGATAATGGGAAAAATCACAATTATGAGGTGTTTTAAGCCTGTTGAAGCATATGTGTTATTTTCTAACAATAGTAGAACAAACCTTTATGACACAAAACTTATAATGCTCTTTGTCTGATTGAGCATAGAAAAAGTTATCTATTTTCTGTTTGAAAGATGTATATGTGTACACCTGATTTTCAATCCTTATGGTATCCTCGACAAAATATGTCATATTTCATGCAAGTTCCACTTACATTGAATTGAGTATTTTTATTTCATTTCATTCATTCAAAAAAAATCACTAGCACACCACTTTGCCATGTATGTACCTATGCAACAACCATGCATGATCTGCACATTTACACCAGAACCTAAAGTACAATTTAAAAAAATCTGATCATACTTCAATTTTGGACTTCTAAACCTAGACTGATGACAATTAATAACCCAGTTTCCTAATGTTTGTAAAGCACTCAGAAGTTTGATTTAGTGATACTTTTTCAGGTTAACAGGCTGGTGAAGATTTTACTAATGGAGAATTGTAGAAAAATAAATTTAGGTCACATTTCTAGGGCAAAGAACATAGATTAGAAAAAGCAAGAAAAATCTTATTTTGATTATATGTACAAAAGATATTGACGACTTGCAGAGTCATTTAATATATACATTTATTCTCCTGCTCCTGAACAAGGAATCCCTAATGTCATTCCGGTAACAACTAAAGTAGTTAGAATATGGGGTAAAGAATAGGCACATGCAATTAATTCAACCTAAAGTTATGATATCATAAATGACAAGGTGATTCTCAAAGAATGATAGCAGAAGGTGAAGATGTTACCAGGTGTTCATCCTCGCTGACTCGTATTATACTAAATACTTACTGATTTTCAACACTAAAGAGGGTATAACAAAACAAAACGAAGGACAACAAGGAGGAAGAGGGAAGAAAGGAGCAGAGGAGGAAGAAGATGACTACTGTCATCAGAAGGTGGCAACATTATTAACCTACTCTCAACCTATGGCCAAATTAGAAAATCACCCTTTGTACTGAGTTTCAAGGAAACAAAATAATCTCCACCATTCACATCTTAACCAGAATTTTGAATAATATTAACGACATTAAAAAAGGTCTAATATTGAATGGATGTTCACTGGAGGATGAAAGACAGAAATCCCTGTTGGATCTTGATATTATGATCGCACAATTTATTTAAAGATAGGTACCAAAATCAATCAGGTAAACACAAAAAATGAAAAAACACAGGAAAAAGTACACTGAGATTCTGAGAGTGAAAATGAAGATTGACATGGGAAAACAGAACAGAAGAGCTAAGCTACCTGTCTTCAAAAATCATGAAATGAAACAAACATAGTATACTGGAAAGAAGAAAATATAAAACTTTCATTTGCTCCATTGGCTAGCTCACTAGACAGGCACACCTGTGAAATAGAGACACCAATTAAATGTGTCCTGTTTGAGAGATTGGAGAAGCATGCAGCTTTCCTGACAAGAAAAGTCATTTCTCATCTTATTGCATGGAGTGGAAGACACATTTTGACTGCTTTCTTCAAACAAATGATTTCTTTTCTAATAAACTCTCTAAATATACAGCCAGTTTTGAGACCTGAGGCATCCTTCTTTGTAGGAATGTATTAGTCAAATGAATGAAACCCTTATATCTTACCAAAAAAATGACAGCTTGATTGTAACAAAATTAAAGGTTACTAGTTTAAATTGCTAATCCTCTATAGGTGTAGATTGTAAGGTATCTGCCACAATTACAGCTTCAATAAACTGAAGATGTAAGTCACTAAAGACATTTGTTTTAAAACAGTAGAAAGGAAAAACCTGTGATAGGGGAGTTCAAGCATGTGAGTCATAAAAATACTGTTGTCTATTTTAATAAATTGCTTATAGTTAGCAATATACTTTAAGAAAATTTAGTTAGCACAAGGATAAATTGAGGTAATGTCACGTTTTATTTATTCGTGATTTTTTTCATCTTGATGTACATCTAAGAATAGAAAATTTGACTCATTTTATTAAAGTTAATTATCTCCCAATGGAATTCTATTAAAACAAAGATGTAAAACCATTTTCAAGAAATTGTGTGTGTCTCTGTGTGATATTATACTAAATGAAAAGACTATTTACATTTTTCTCCTCAAAATATGAATCGGACTCACTTCCAAGGAGTGAAAGTAAAATAATGACTCCATAAATTCTAAATATTACTAATTTCTATTGACTTAGTAATGTTATTAAAATATCCAGATATTTCACATGTCAAGGAGCTGATAAAGCAGTGGAGAAATTAAGAACCAAATAGAAGTTATATTTAGAGCTAGAATGTGTACGAGATTTAAAAAGCTACTGCAGAGATGAAAACTTTAGCTTCTATTTATGATTTATACTGCACAATGGATCTGAGTAACTTTAAGGCTGCAATGATCTACATTAGAACCATGTCAACTTGGAATAAACTCCTACCAGATGAAAAAGAAACCTCAGACATAATTCTCTGATGATTTTTGAAAAAGACCAAATTTGTGTTTGAATTAAAGACTCAATAATATATGTGATTTTGTTACTCATTTTTTAGCCTCTTCAGTGTTCTTTAACCTTTATTTCTGATTGAACTCTGCCCTCCATAAAAAGAAAGACGATTGGCTCTGCCCTCCATAAAAAGAAAGACTGTCTTTCTAAACCTTTATTCACACTATTAGAAAAACAAAGATATCAAGGAAGATTTGAAAGCACACTGAATTTGGAATCAGAAGAACTTTATTTAAATCTTAGTCCTGGTTTCTTTTTATAATATATGGTGTATAAAATAAAGATTTGGATTAGATGATCTGTGAACATCTCTAGCTTCTAAACAGTAAATTATGTAATAGTTTGAAATATTATCCATTCTGGGTAAGTCTGCATTTTGTATATCCTTAAATATGTATCTTATGGCAATTGTTCATTTTTAGGCATTAGTGAGTAAGTGAATAATGTGTTGGTGTTTGGGTGGTAATTCTGATATTATTCTACATCCTTATTTCCAGGTCATTTTCATATGTGAATGACTTGGAAATATGGAAATAAGATAACTCTGAAAATTACAATTTAAATGTGCATAACATTCGAGAAATAATTTGGAGTTGGAGTAGACCTATCAAAACAACTGGTTGAGAAGTAAATTAAAGTTAAAATTAAAAAAAAAAGTAGATTCTAACTTTCAAAATTAACATGTCATATTACTTATTCAAAGTTTTTTTTTTAATTAAGACAATTAAGTTTGGTATATGGAAACCAGGCTAACA